AGGTGACACGGCGCACAGCCCACCTGGTGGCCGAGTGGCAGTGTGTTGGCTTTTGTCACGGCGTGCTCAACACAGACAACATGAGCATCGTGGGGCTCACCATTGACTATGGGCCCTTCGGCTTCCTGGACAGGTCAGTGCTCCTGCCCATGGTGGGGGTGCTTGTGCCCTGGACTCGGCAGTGGACCCGTGGTGGGGTGGTGGGGATGCCGGTTTCTCGGCTGCCCCGTGGAGAGCAGGTGAAGGGACAGGGGGCCGAAAGAGCAGCACAGGGAAGGTCTGGCTGCAGTTCCTCACCTGCCACAGGTATGACCCTGACCACGTGTGTAACACCTCGGACACCGGGGGTCGATATGCATTCAGCAAGCAGCCTGAGGTGTGCAAGTGGAACCTGCAGAAGCTGGCCGAGGCGCTGGTGCCCGAGCTGCCCCTGGCGGTGGGGAAGGCCGTGCTGGCCGAGGAATACGAAGCCGAGTTCCACCGGCGCTACCTGCAGAAGATGCGCCAGAAGCTGGGCCTGGTGCAGGTGGAGCTGGAGGAGGACTCAGCGTTGGTGGCCAGGCTCCTGGAGACCATGCAACTGACCGGTGAGCCTGCTCCCCGCCACAGCCGATGGTGCTGACTGAGGTGCCAGGGTTTGAGGAGTCTCAGGGAGTCCCTCTGGCCGGGCCCCTGCCCCTGATGGGCCTCTCCGCAACAGGGGCTGACTTCACCAACACCTTCTGCCTGCTGAGCACCTTTGTGGCGGGGCCCCCGCCGGAGCAGGCCACCCTCCTGGAGCAGCTGCTGGCACAGTGTGCATCCCTACAGGAGCTGAAGCGCGCCCTGCAGCCCCAGATGGACCCCCGGTAGGAAGCATCCAGAGATGGTGACGCTGTGGACTGGGATCCCCTGGGGAAAGTGTCCTGGTGGGAATGTTGTGTCTGAGGTGATAATGGTGTCCCAGCTCCAGTCTAGCCCCCATCAGATGAGTGGTGCTGACAGGCTCAGGAAGGTGTGCCTGGGGGCTTTGAGTCAGAATCAGCAGACAGGGACGAGCAGTGGAAGTGTTTATTTCGGGGGCTCTACAGCAAGATGTCCACCCTCAGCCCCCCAGCCGGTGACCCACATCCACCCTCTGCCTGCCTGCAGGCAGCTCTCAATGATGCTGACGCTGGCACAGTCCAACCCGCAGCTGCTGGCCCTGGTGGGCGGCAGGGCCGGCCTGACTCGGGAGCTGGAGCGCAGGGAGCAGCATGCACGGCTGGAGCAGCTGGACCCAGCCAAGCTTCAGGACGAGAACCGTGCCCACTGGACTGCGTGGCTGCAGGAGTACAGGTGAGGCCGCCCCTGCCAGGGCTGGGGTGTGGGGCCTGGCAGCACGCTGACGGCCCACTTATGCAGCACGCGCCTGGAGAAGGACGTGGGAGGCGCCAGTGACCCCGAGGCGTGGCAGACAGAGCATGTGCGGGTCATGCACTCCAACAACCCCAAGTACGTGCTGCGCAACTACATCGCCCAGAACGCCATCTCGGCAGCCGAGGAGGGAGACTTCTCAGAGGTAAGTGGGGCCCTGTGCAGGCATGCAGGCTGGACCTCGGCGGCCCTCGCTCACTACCTCCTGCCCTGCAGGTCCGCCGTGTGCTGAAACTGCTGGAGGCCCCATACGCCCTGGAGGAGCCCATGGGGGCCACCAGCTGGCATGCCTACAGCAGCAAGCCCCCACCCTGGGCCGCGGAGCTGTGCGTCACATGATCCTCGTAGCCGCCCGCCCAGCTCTGCGCTGCCTGTCTGAGACCCCGCCGTCTCTCCATGGCGACAGGGGCGTCCAGTCAGGCCTGACCTGCCCCTGTCCGAAGCTGACCTGGCAGCGCCCCAAGCCCCCCTGCGCGGGCCCCACCTGCCCAATAAACCTGCCCACGGTCACTGCGCCCTCAGGCATCCTGGTAGTAGTTGTTGAAGTTGATGCGCAGCAGGAAGTCCTCCAGGTGGGGCTGGTAGCCACGGTTCACCAGCTTCGTCACCACTGCATGGCGAGCCAGTGGTCAGGGGCGGGCGCAGCCCCCATCTGCGCCCCCTCAGATGGACGGGCAGGGGCGGCCTTACCTTTGAAGAGGAAGTGGGAGTAGTACTTGAAGGTGCTATAGGACTGCTGCATGAGGGTGAAGTTGGGGTGCTCGGCTGCATCCCAGGCCTGGCTGATGAGCTGGCTGCGGAACTTGAGGACCAGGCTGAAGGTGCTGTGGATCAGGTTCATGACAGGGGCAGCCTTCTCTGTCAGCAGACCCCTAGTGGAGGGGGGGAAGGGAGACGACACTCAGCAGGGTAGCCATTGGCCTGGGGTCCCCATAGCTGTGCCCGGGCCTCACCGGAAGATGGCCTTGTTGAGGTACTCGGCGTGGGCCCGCTGGGCCTCCTCCAGGGTGCCCACGGAGGCCAGCTTGTTCCTGAACTCACACCAGGTGACATGCAGGATCTGGTTGGCGATGTAGCCCTGGGTGACCTTCACGAAGTGCTGCATCTCGTGCTTGAACAGCTGCAGCTGGCGGAGCTGCACGGAGCCTGCCGCCCGGCTCACCAGGGCTGGGGGCGGGGGTGCAGGCATGAGGGTGAACAGGGAGGGCACGAGTGCACCTGTTGGGGCGGGGGTGAGCAGGAAGGGTACAGGCCCACCTGTGCGTTTGAGCTGGCCGCAGATGTCCTTCAGCGTCCACATCATGAGCTTCAGCTGCAGCAGGAAGGAGAAGATGCGGCCATACTTGCTCAGGCAACTCTCACTGATGACGATGTTGAGGGGCCAGTCCACCTGGGGGTGGGGGGTGTAGTCACCATTCCTCCAGCACCTTCCCTCCCCACCACCTCCCTCCCCAGGACGAATGCTGACCTTGTACCTAAGCTCTAGGCAACTCAGCACATCGGGGGCGTTGGGGGTGAACACCTCGGGCAGGAACTTGAGGGCAAAGGAGAGGTTGGCGGCAAGCGGGCTGTCCCCATGGAGGCTGTACTGCAGGGCCTTGCTGAGCACGGAGCCCAGCGCCAGTGGGCTGAGGAGCTCTTCAGGTGTCTGCCCTGACCCCAGCTGTGGGGACGCCCGCATGTGAGCACCAGGGTGCTGAGGAGACGCTCAGGCGTCTGCCCTGAACAAGCCCAGCGCTCACCCCGAGACAGGACTACCTTCTCAAAGAGCAGGTCACTGAGGGACTGGGCGAACTCGCCGTCCTCCATCAGCAGGAAGTGCCGCAGCGCCTCCAGGTGGTTCTCCAGGTGCAGCTCCACGAAGAAGTAGTCCACGGCGGCCTTGTTCACCAGGGAGACAC